TAAGCCCTAAGCCCTAAACTCTTAAATCCTTAACCCTAAACTCTAAACCCTAAACCCTAAACTCTAAGCCCTAAGCCCTAAACGCTTAAACCCTAAACCCTAAACCCTAAAACCAAAGAGAGCTGACAGAACCCCCAGGTCGAAGGCGACCCGGCTTTGCCGCCTCCGGCGCCAAAGCGAACCGGGCGTGCCGATGTCGCGATGCGGCCAAAAGGGTCGAATCGGTGCCTCTTAAGAGGCTGAGATAAAGCTCCCGTCTAGAATATTATTTGATTTTTTAAGAAACCGACAAGAAGCATCAGTGAAAGCGATGAGAGCAATAATCATACACATAAACAGCAATATCATCCGTAATCGTAGACAAGACCAACCAGGAAAGCATGTTACATATTCTGTTCTTCCAATTTACTTCCGATGTGCTACCCTGAGCAACTCAAGCCCTTTAGCTACCCTAAACCCTGAACCCTAAACCCTAAACCCTAAACCCTAAGCCCAAAACCGAGGTTCGCCCTAGTAGTACCCTTTTGCCCGTTTTATCTTGGGGTCCCCTCAGCAAAACCAAATCGTAGGACAAAAAGGGTACCCTTAAGTGGCTATTCTGGAACCTGGGTACCTAGATAATATCGGGGCTCAAATAATTGCCTACACAATGTTGCGGGGGTCCTTATCATACTTATAGCATAATGGGCCCCAAAGCCCTCTTCTGATTATTAAGGCCCCTACAGTGCCCAAAGCCCTACAAAGGAGAGGCTTGGAGCTGCCGACACAGGCCCAAATGCCCCAAGGTACCTACTATTTAGGGTACTAGAGCCTCTGGGCCCTTTAAGTATAGTGGGTACCTGGAGGGTTAGGGTTCAGGGTCCAGGCCCTAAACCCCTGAACTTCAGGTCCAGGGTTTGCAGTAGGCTGCTAGGGCTTCAGAATTGAGGGTGCAGAGTTCGTGATGTAGGGTTGGAGTAGATTCCAGTATAGGTACAAGATGCAAAGCTGAGGAATTTTGATCTTGACCCCCCGTACTGTAGGAGCCTAAATAACTACCTATACTGTTTTGGGGGTTTCTGATTATAATTATAGTATAATATACCCCAAAACCCTATTCTAACTATTAAGGCCCCTATATTACTACCCTCAGGATCTCCGTAAAGCCTGAAACCTAAACCCAACACCCTGAGCCCGCCGAATCTCCGAAGAAGGACTTGATTGATGAAGAAGAGTACGCCTTGATCAAGAACCTCAAGGACGGGAGGGTTCAGGGTTTAGGGTTTAGGGGTTTGGGTTCAGGGTTTTAGGGTTTAGGGTTCGGGGTTTGGCGTTCAGGGTTCAGGGTTTTAGGGTTTGGGGTTCGGGGTTTAGGGTTTAGGGTTTTGGAGGTTTAGGGCATGTCTTGGAGTTCTTTTGGCGTTCCTCTTTCTGTTTGCTGATACGGGCTGCAAGGACTCCTTCTTTGAAGTTTATATACAACGTTTTAGGGCTCAGGGATTAAGGTTCGGGGTTTCGGGTTTGCGAGATTCCTGGAAGCAGATAGAGACCGTTGTTGCTGCGATCTTGAGAGTATAACTCGTTGCAAATGCAACCTTGGGCTTTGCAAATTCTGCCTTTCTTCGTTTGCACCTCTGCGGCTGTAAAGGTTGCGTCCTTCCGCATTCTATAGCTTAAACCCTAAACCGAAAGAAAACGCACCTCGAGTTTCGTCAGAGTGCTTTCGGGGGCTGAGGGGTGGTGTAGCCCGCCGAAGCGAGGCGCCACAGTGCCAACTCATCGCTCCTGTATTTGCTGCCATAGTCTTGTTAGACCTTCAGGGCTCGAGGGTTGCAGCCTTGAGGCATCCCTAAAGCCTTAACCTTAAACCCTTAAGCCCAAAACCCTTAAACCGTGAACCCTGAACCCTGAACCCTGAACCCTAAACCCTAAACCCTAAACCCTAAAGACTAAGCCTATCTCTTTTGTGCAGGTTTTGCGTCGGGGCTGACAAGGCACGTTTGCGCCTTCCCGAACCCCGAGCTACCGAAAGCGGCAAGGCCCTGAAATTGCAGGACACCTCATAGAGCCCTTATACCCAATGGGCCCCAGGTACCTACTATATAGGGTACTAGAGCCTATATAGTAGGTACCTGGAGGGTTAGGGATGAATATTAGGGTTTACGCCTTATAGGAGGACCCTACAGACCCCTACAAGACACATAGCTCAACACCCTAAAGCCCAAGAACGAAAGAGAAGCTGCAGGAAACCAAGCAGCAATACCGAGAAGCCTTCGAGCGGCACAGCCGAGTGAAGACCGAGGCGGGCGTGGAACAAGTTTGTGTTGAGGGGTTTAGGGGCGTCTGATTTCTTGGGGCTCCTGTTAGGGTTCTGAGCTTGGTACGAGTTATGTGAGGGTTGATACACGTTAGCATTCGCTTGAGTGTTCAAGCATTCTTTAGTACAGCACTTCTGGGTCCAAGGACAGTATTCAGAAATTTTGAATGATGTTTGAGGCATATTAGCATATAGGATATACTGTTGGGGCTGTTTTGGGGTTTAGGAAGGCCCGGAATAAGGTGCAGGATTTACGACGTGTGTAAGGTCTAGGATTTAGTTCGACGGAGCTTGATTTTAGTTTTTGTTTTTCAGGGTACCCTAAACCCTAAACCCCTAGGGTGTAGGATGTAGTCCTGAATCCACAGAATTTATGCGCACAAGAGCATCCGGCAGGGTCCCGACCCCTTCCTAACCCTCCAGGTACCTACTATGCTAGGGCCCTTGGGGCTAGAGGGTTTTTAGGGTTTAGGGTTTCTATATAGTAGGTGCCTGGGGCCCATTGGGGGGTTGCCTTGCATAATCCTGAAACACCGTGGCTGGAGCCTTACTTCTTCGATCCGAAGTCTGCTTTCTGTGCATTACCTTAGGGGCTGAGTAAGTAACCTTTAACCTTTTGGGGCCAGAACTGATCCTACTACAACTTAAAAGGTTAACTTGTTTGGGCTACGGGACTCAGCAGCCAAGATACAAAACAGTACAACAACCCTTAACTACGAATTGGCACCTGTATGAACCCTCCAAGAACGTCAGGTTGTTCAGATCGAGCACCTCATGCAGCAGTGCAAAGCACGATTGGTGCAGGGTTTCGAGGCCCTTCTTGCCTCTTTTTGGGGTCAGGTTTCGGGGATTCAAAAGGACTTCAGCGCGGCTTTCATGGCTTTGAAGGTATACAAGGAAGGGTTCGACGAGGATTCTTTAATTCCATATAGTACTTTATAGATTTGTTCGTGGTAAGGGTTCAGGAACACATGTTTGTTGCAGGTTTTCGGATTGCTGCTTTAGGCTTTAGGTGCAAGAATTAGGTTGATGTGTTTGAGCTTGAGTGTGATGGTATCTTGTGCGCAGGATGCGGAATTCGGATACAGACTTGGCCCAGACGCCACCCCCTCCCCCTCTACACCCTATCGCATCCTTTACCTTTGCCCCGAAACCTATAAACCTTGTAAACCCCATACCCTGAGCCACAAAACCTTGTAGAACTCTTGCAGAAGCCCTTTTATAAGGCCCTTTTAGGGTTTAGAAACCTATGCTTCAACAGAGCATAGGTCCAGAAATCCTATAACCCTTAGCCTAAACCCATACCGTGAAAGGCCTCAGGGCTGTGGGGCATGTGGGTCCAACGCCCTGAAGCCAAAACTCTTGTCTTTGGGATCTAAAATGCAGATCACTAAACCCAACACCGGGCCTTAATAGTCAGAATAGGGTTTGGGGTATGTTATGCTCTTCCGATAAGGAGCCACCCAAAGTGGTATTGGTAAATTTTTAGGCCCCTATATTAACCTGCACCGCACCCTGAACCTGGGCCGCAACTAATCTCGGATGTAGGCTGCACCCGAAATCCTGACCCTACCCTAAAATTCGCTAAAGCGCTAAACACCTGAACGTAAACCCTTACCCCTAAACCTACTAGGGTTTAGGGTACACCAACACCCGAACCCAAATACTCAGATATCCTACTGCCCCAAAACCCTAAACCCTAAACCCTAAACCCTAAACCCTAAACCCTACTGCCCCTAACCCCCTAAACCCTAAAGCCAACCTTGGACCCCCTTGACTTTAGGGCTTAAGGCTTATGGTTTAGGGTTTAGAAGACCTACGGGCGTTAATTAAGGGTTTAGGGTGTAGGGTTTAGGGTTTAGGGTTCAGGGTTTAGGGATTTAAGGATCCCTAAAGCTTAACTTGCCAGGAGTACTACGACCAGAAGTATGGCCACCTGGTGAGGCAAGCCGAGGCCCGGGATTGACCTAGGAAGACCCAACTATTTAGGGTTTAGGTGTTAGGGGTTATAGGGTTTCGGGTTTGGGGGTTTAGGGTTTAGGGGTTTAGGGTTCAGGGGTTAGGGTTTAGGGTGTAGGGTCCATTGCAGTTCCTGTTTCGGTCTAGTTATGTCATCAGGAACCTACAAGGTAACCCCCCAAAAGGAGCTAAAATGGGACTCTAGGTATACAGTGGGGAGTTTTATAGAGTTTAGGATTTTCGGTGTAAGCCTCCTCCATGCTGTGAGGGTTAAAAGGTCTAGCAGACCGGCCTGGGAAAGGATGAGGTGTACCATGTTTAGATAGTTTACAAGTACAGCGGGTTTGATAAGGTTTACATGGTTTCACAGGGCTTAGTCTAGGCCCCAAACAGTTTGAATCGGGTTTCAGAGTATAGTACTGCGTAGCTGCGTAGTACAGAAGCTGACACAACGAGGACTACACTTCCGGGAGGCTCCTTACTAGAATTACGGTATAAATAATGCCGCATGGTATCCCAAGGACTACGGATTGCCTTTTGCATTGGGGCTTCATACGGATTTTGCAGGACTTATTGTGCTCAATCTCAAAGATTTTTTCTGCTCCTGAAGCAGCAGTACCCGGAAACCCAGATCCCATAGAACCGAAACGCCCGAAGCCACCAAGACCCTTGAATCGAGACACTAAACAATACTAAACCCTAAACCCTTGCACCTTCAATTCTAAACCCTGAATCCGTAGACTCTATTGTAAACCCGAAGCTCTAAACCCTACACCCTGATTCCAAAACCCGAAAACCCTAGACCACGTAACCCAAATTCTCCAATCGATTCCCTAAACCCCTAAGCCCGAAAACCCCTAAACCCCTAAACCCTAAACTCTTTAAGCCTAAACCCCTAAACCCTAAACCCCTGAACCCTAAACCCCTCAAGGCCCTAAGGCCG